AAAAGGATATGGCTTCCCTGCAATCAGACACATGAATGCACACACCTTGCTTGGTTTATTTTAAATCCAGCTTCTCAGCTTACCCAAAGCAGTAAAGCCATGGAAGATTGCTCTGTTGGGTAAATACCTGCTCTTCTGCTAGCCCTATGGATACCCATGCTATTTCCCCACTGTGCTTGGAGGCCAGGTTTACCTAGGCATGTCTCCAAGTATTGTCATCACTACATGGCAGTCTGAAGCCCCTCCTAAGCTGTCTTTAACCCATCACACTGGCTATAAGAAGGGGTTCCTATTCTTTACGTTAAATGCCAGGACTCTCTCCTGAGGAACCTGTGATCATGATGAGTCCTCTCCAGTTATTTGGCAGAACTGAGAGTTTCTCAAGAGCTGAAACTCAGTGTGCTCTAAAGTAACATGAAGTACCCAAGTAAGAAGGCAGCTGAATCAATGAGGAATCAATTAAGCTCTCTTCCACGGATTTCCACTTCACTAAAATCTGAGCAGCCCTCTGAAGAGCTTTTTCTTCTCCAGGACAACTATCCCAATACACTGGTAATGTCATGGGAAGCCTACAAAAAGGAGGGGACAGCATGGAACTGGGCATGGATCGAAAAACATTTTGTTTCAGTCCACTAAAGACATCTACAACATTTCTAGCCAGGATGGGTGCTGCAGTGCTGGAAATCACAGAATCATATGGGTCTGGGTTGGAAGGGACCTGAAAGATAATCTAGTTCCAATCCCCTGCCACAGTTGGCTGGAGAAGCTGTGGCTGCCCCATCCCTGGCAGTGTTCAAGGCCAGGTTGGACACAGGGGCTTGGAGCAACCTGCTCTAGTGGAAGGTGTCCCTGTCCGTGGCAGGGGTTGGAACTGGATGAGCTTTAAGGTCCCTTCCAACCCAAACCAGCCTGGGATTCTACCATGCTATGAATAGGATCAAACTACCAGATTTCATGAGATACTATCATGCAGGCTCAGCCCTAGTCCCTGGTCAGGCATGTTCTCTTTGCCTTTTCAAAATATGGAGTAAAATGTCCTAACATCTAACTTCTTTATTGAATCCCATCTTCTAGTTCCCAACTCTTATCATTAAAAGTACAGCCCATGATTTTATATGTCTGCTGCCAAATTAGGACCATCATATACAAAGTACTATTCCTATTACTGCTCTTCTCCAGTGTACTTTTAAGGGTCTGAAGTACTGCACTGGATGTCAACCATGCATAAAGTGAGTCATTACAAATGAGTGATTGAGAAGGAATCTTTATCTGTATGCAGGTCAATGTACAACCACTGTCAACTGCCCAGGAAAAGTCAGTACACTTATTACACACAGAACATAATTTCTATTGCTGCTTTGTATAATCAACTTCCCACTGATCCTAGTGAATATCATGCATGTCAAGATGTCAACTACCAAACAGAGAACGGGGTGAAAATCTCTCATTTAAATTTGAGGAGAGTGAAGGGCAACACCAGATAACTTAATTCTTTTAAGAATGATTTTGCATCCAAGCATAATATTGTTTTGATATGCCTGGGATTGTACTGATGCATCAGTGAGACCCCTCTGGGAAACAGTGCATTCCCCAAATGCAGACAACCTGACTCACCTATTCATTTCACTGCACTCAGCAAATATGTCTTATAGTACATAGTTTGTTGCCTCTTGAATAGCCAGAAATACCTGGTCCAGTTGAAACAGGTCAGGAGTGAGACTATATGACATATTAAGTTCTATTTTGCATTGCAGCACAGGCCATTCCCTTCTTCCCTCTATACTCAGACAATAAGAGGTTAAGAGAGCTGCCCTGTAATGGGTTCATTAGTTGCCAGAACTTGGAGAATGAAGTTCTTTGCTACAGCTCATTAAGAGGTGAAGGGAGATAGGACACCAAAAGCCTGGGATACAGAGGATCTGTGATGGCAGACCCTGGAAAAACAGGGCTAGGATGGGTGGTTCCTTAATTATCTTTCTTGTACTGGGTTATAAAGAACCTTTTTATGTTTGCTTGTGCAACAGTACTGAGATGCAAAAGGGAAGGGATTTAATTCTCCCATGAGGAAATCAAAATGCCCCTTCTGCTGCTCAGTACAGGTTACCTCTGGACTTACCTCAGCACCTTCCTCCAAAAGACTTCTTTAATACTTGAGGATTGACCAAAAAAGAAGTGCACACTGATGAAAATGAGATCCTAACAAACTGTCCTTTGCATGAAAGGGTGAAGCATGCTCAAGAAGCATTGTTCCAGAGTGAAAAATCTGAGGTAGTATGGCAGCAGCCCTATCTCAGATATATCTCAGCTCTATCACCAAATATACTGGTGGTCGTTACCCATATAAACCAAAACTCCTCACCATATCATTACTTCTTCCTGCAATGCAGTGCAAAGTAGAATTCACAAGAAATTGAATTGCACAGCTTGCCTGTGAAGACACAGGCTAAGTGGAACGAAAAAAGACACCACAAATAGGAAACAGGAATCTCTGTAATATTATTATGTTGTGAAAATTAAGGGGTTTATCCAGCAATCTCTGCTCCTCTAAGATTCCCTCTGAAGACAGGTGAAATCTTAGCTTGGAAAGACTGAGTCTAAGTTTCAAAGTTGTGTTTTACTTTCTACATATGACAATCCATAGTGCTGAGGCGCTGGCACAGGGTGCCCAGAGGAGCTGTGGCTGCCTCATCCCTGGCAGTGTTCAAGGCCAGGTTGGACACAGGGGCTTGGAGCAACCTGCTCTAGTGGAAGGTGTCCCTGCCCGTGGCAGGGGGTTGGAACTGGAGGAGCTTTAAGGTCCCTTCCAACACAAACCAGTCTGGGATTTTGTGATTCCATACAGACCGATACCTCTAAATGAATACAGCAAAAAGGATTTCAGAGAGGTATTAGTCTTGTTTTGAAGGTGTTAAAAGATAGAATCTGGGTTTTCAGATGATTATGCTCTTCTCAGGGTCTGCTTCTCAACACAGTTTACTAAACGGGCTGTCCTTGACACTAGCCCACGTAGGCACAGTCCTAGAGATTTCACTGGCATTCAACATGGTCCTAACTGCTTTGCTGAGCTGAGTTTGATTTATGCAAGTACTTGGTTCTTTCACTTAGCACTCCTGTTCTGTTTGATCCTGCTTTACAGGATAATAAATATCTGGCCCCTGCAGTCGCTTCTACCTCCACTGGGGTGGTACACTTTGATGGGGTGGGCAGGGTGTTGTTACATGTACTAACATGCTTGCTCACTCTGTTTTCATCATGCAAGAAGAGCACCATGCATACCGTGAGCAACTCTGTCTTTCAAATCAAGTCATCAATTCAGTGGAAAGGCCTGGGTTAGAAATGGAAGTTTACAAATCACCTTAGCTGTGGTTTTAGCTGTGAGGCACAATAACCTGAATGTTACAAGCAGCTCGGTGAAGAAAAAGGTCTTGGAATGATGCTCAAGTTTGTCTCAAATAACCTCCCAGTGCCAAAGAAACTTTGCACTAGATGGGTTTATAAAAGCTGTATAAAGAAGGCTTATAAATCATCTGTACATGAACCTGCAGGTTAACAAAGGGAAAGTGAATTCTGTTTGTGTGTAGAAATAAACAGTTCTCCAAATCCATCCCTGCAATCCCCAAACCTCTGTATAAACTCAGAGTAATGACTCGATTACGAACTATGTTACAAAATCACTAGAAATACACTAATACCATTTCCCTTATGGTGGTCTTGCAAAGGATCTCATAGAGTATGGAACTGAAGATGTTAATATGGGAATATATGACACCAAATTTATCCTCCTATCAATGCTGGATAGTTTCCCTTCCTACATCTGCAAAAGTTGTGATCAACCTCGTTTTAGCCCCATGCAAATAGGCCTCCTTTTTTGCTTATTTGATTTTACTTTACAACAAGCTTTCTAACATCTAACCTAAATGATGATACTCAAAAAGGTTTTCTTTTTATATCCCTTGTACCAGTTTATTCAGTTTGTCCCATTCTTGGAAGTCACTCTCTTAAAATACTCACAGGCGGTTAACCTGATTTTCTTTACACATGATAGTAATTCCTTCGGGAAAATGCTGTTTATGTGAGTTTTCTGCTACGTCCTCCCTCCTAACAGGTGCTTTTTTGGTCACTCTGCTTAAAATTAATTTCATTTCATTGCCTATACTGAGCTGCCCTAGATTTCTGGCCTAGTTCCCCCCCAGCTGTGCAAGGTAAAGAAGCTGTTACTGCTGTAGCCTCTTGTTTGTGAGCACGATACACAGCACAAAAGACTCATGCGCCATAGGTTCTGAGTACTTAACATACTATAGCATTTCTCAGTGTGGCCTCTAAAACTAATTGCATTTGGATGAAAAGGCTCCTGAATGGTTTTTCTTTAGCCTTCGTTTCAGATACCTGATGCAGGTTTGAGCAAGATGAAGGAAGGTCACAGTTCCAACCCTACACAAAACTGCCCTTAAACATCTATCTATCATCTTCTTGGTAGGTGCTTGTATTATTGACTTGATAGGGAACAGTGCTACAGTCTTGTATGAACCTCATGTGACACTCCTTCTCTAGCTGAGCCTATAAAAAGCACAGCCTTTGAATCCCAAAGGGAAATGAGACCTGAAGGATTGCCACCTCCTCCTTCTTGTTTACAGCCACCTAAGGAATATTTAGTCATCTCCTAAATATCAAACCAGACCCTTTGGTGGCTACTGGGATTCATCAAGAACTAACACCAGAACAAGCAGTTATATGTAGACCATCAATTACATTCATAGCAACATAATGAACAATAGCAAGCCTAAGGTGGCTTTAATGGAGTTATTTATTATATTACTCTATGCTCAGCAACGGAAGCAGAATTATTTATGTAGTTGAGCGCTGGCATTTCTGCTTCTAGTCATGCCCTACATGTGCTTTACTGGAACACATTTGTAGCACTCCTTTAGCAGATCAAAGCCTGACTATTTCACAGAGTTTAAAGCAAACAAACCCCAGCGCCAAGTCACCGCTGACGTTACCGATTGAGCAATCATGTCCAGTCCAGTTGGGATCGCAGCTGCAGAGTCCAGTATCCGGGAGGAAGGTCCCATGGCCGGAGCACTGGTCCAGACAAGTGGCTCTTGGGGTCTCACAGTTGGTTCCTCCCCAGCCCACTGAACAGTGACATTCTCCTCGCACGCACACGCCTCGTCCCGAGCAGGTGGGATCCATGCAGTCCACTACATGGGAGAAGGAAGAGGAAGCAGACAGGGAAAGCAAGTGGGAATTCCATGAGAAAAAGCCATCAGACTGCCGTTTACACAAAGCTGTTTATATGATCTTAAGGTCTTCTCCAACCCTAACTATTCTATGATTCTATATAGTATCTCAAGGTTTCAACCAGAAAGCAAAGCCCCATTGTGCACAAAGCAGATGCCTCATGAATCATAAGACAGTTTGGGTTGGAAGAGACCTTTAAAGGTCATTTAGTCCATCCCCCCTGCAATAAGCAGGGACATCTCCAACTAGATCAAGAAGACAGTGTCCCACAAAGGCAGTGAGACCTAAAACGGTGTCATGAAAAGCAGAGAAAAATCTAATTATTAAGCTCTTTTTTTCTATCCAGGCCTAAATAAATGATCCTTCTAGTAAGAACAGCCTAATATCAATTAAGGACAGAGTAAGAATAATATTCTCTTGCACACATATCGTGCCTCCATTTATTCTATTAGAATAACCTAAATTACTGTTCCTAATGAATTCAAAGCTGAGCTCTAGTTTTCCGAGAGAGAATTTTACACAAAGATTCAGCAGAAGTTAATGTCCTTATTCAGCAAAAGACATGCTTAAATTGAAGAATGTGCTGAAATCTATACAGGTTTCACAGACACTTACATAAATTTCACATTAAATAGATCCTTAGAGAGTTTTCTGGAGTAAGGATTAAACAAAATCATGTATTTTTGGTACTTGTGGTTTGATTTTTGACTTATTTATAATATTCTTTAATTTTTTGGTGGTTTTTCCTCCGTCAAAGAGGCACTTTCCTAACAAAGCTGGAGACCCTTCAGTTAGGTGCAGGGTACAGCAACGTGCACCAGAAGACTGGATGTACTGCTGCCTGATTCCTGAGTTATGTGTTTTGCAGACAACTATCAGCAGCTCTGCCCATGGGGGGAATTTCTCCCAGCAATGAAAACCTATGACTCCCAAATAAAGGACTGGAGGAGTCAATCATCTATTTATATATAAAAGCTCATAGAAGAGCCTAAAGAAATTCTTCCCATCTCTTGTAAGGGTGTGTGGCAGCGCCCTGGGGATCAGTGACAAGCATCAGGCTGGCTAAGCAGCAAGGGAAAAGCTGTTCGGCTCCTAATAGAGAAGAGCAGAACACAGCCACCACACACCCAGCAGGCTTGTGGTCTGTTTCTTCCCCTCTTATAAAAGCTCATAAGAATCCCAATGACCTGCTTAAAATCCAGAAACCTTAAAAGGAAACACAACAGCTGTTCAGATAATTCCCTGGCTTCTCAAACCCTTCTCAGCCTGACAAGTAATGGCTCACCTATTACTATCCCAAGGCATGTGAGAGCATTTTGTGTTTTGTTTGATTCCCAGAGCCCTGCTCATAGCTAGAACAATCCTTGAAGATTGTAAGAGGCTGGAAAGGATGAGTCTATAAATCTCCTTCGCCGTGAGTGAGCTGGGAGCTCAGGTGCCAATTTTAGCATGAGACCCTTGAAGCCCTGGCCCTGTTCTTTCTCAGCAGTAAGAAGTATGAAAAGGACTAAGAGATGGACCAGCAGCCCCGTACGTTGTCTGCAGATGGTTTGAACATAGGGAACAAAGATCACAGGCTAACTGACAAGAGGCTACCTCCAGGCAATTAATCATCCCCTCTGAAGGTCAATTGGGAAAAAAGGTGAGTTTTACAGGGGCTCCATTGCAGGAGGCAGACAATCTGCTATCTCAGCTCGAACACAGACGATTATAAGAGGGGAATGTGCATGTCAGAACCCCCCATTTATCATAATCCCAAGGCCATTTTTCATGTTGAAATGAGCCCTTTCAGAAAATGTCACACACAATGGTTACTTTAATCTCAGCCTCACTAGCTGTATCTCTTCAGGCTTTCTGCACCATCAGAAGGGCCCTGGGACAGGATTACAGGCTTCTGCTTTCTTCTTAATCAATCGCTTAGTGGATTTGGAGTACAATGGTATATTTTTAGGGAGTTCTGCTTGACAAATATAGCTGCTCAGCTCTGGGAGTAGCAGAGATGGGGAGCAGGGCAGGAAGGCAGAGCTGACAAAATCTGGTATATGTGGAAAAAAAGAAAAGAGTTTTGCATATATCTGTATCGTTGCTTGGAAAATGTCCCAAATGGTCTAATTCCTGGTTGGAAAATGCCCCATTTATAGTTCAGCCTTGTGCAGAATCTTTGCCAGAGAAGATAAATCATGCAGCAAGCAAGGTTAGTGCCTCTTCTGTGCTTTTCCCCAATATGCTTCATGCTTCATTGGTCACACAAGTTATTAGGCTTATTTGGTACCCAAAGAGCAACTTCTCATTTTTCACTGCTTAAATTTGCTCCTTTCCCTTTAATGTCTCGCTGGCTTAGCCCATGCCTTATAAAATATGGGCCAATAAACTAAGGAAGGAGCAAAAGAAAAGCTCATGTAAGATTGTTGGCTGATGTTTTATAAACATTGCTGAACTTCTGTAAGGGAGGGAGAAAGAAAAGACAGAAGAAACCCTGGAATGAAACCCCCATTCTAAACACGGCCTGAGCAGTGAAGCTACAAGAACTGAGAAATAATAAACCCTAATCAATTCCAGATGGGCCTTCTTAGAAGAGAAATTAAAAAGTAAAAGCAATTTAAAAAATAGTATAAATCAACTTTTTTTACTAGATCTAAAGATATTTATATATATGTGTCCTCAAGATTTCCCACGTGGCATGTTTCCCCCCTCCCCTTCACAACACAATACAAATTATGCTCGGAATATGAAAACCAAATGCATACTTGGAAAAATACTAAAGGGATCATAAGAAAAACCACGTTCTCTTTGTTCTTCATTCTTCTTCAAGTTTCTACCTAGTGAGACTGACACTGTCCCCTCCAACATAAAATAACTGAGTAGTGTCTGGCTTTTCTGCTTGAAATGGGACCAGGGGAATAAAAGGTTCCTGTGAGAACCTTACTCTGATTTACACACATTAAACACCTCTGGCTGGAGGCAAAATCAGGATCATTTCATTTCTGTTTAGCCAGTAAAGATAGGATCTAGTAAATACAGAGATGTTTTAAAGATCCTTCAGTAGTCACCACCTCTGGGGTTTGCATGTCCCACGGCTTCACTGAATTGTGCTTTCTTAAGCCAAATTGAAGCTTTCTTAAGAGCTGGCTTATTGTTACAAGAGCTGATATTGTCTTCATCTAACATTTGCTGATACTGAAGCCATGCTACATCCGAGATGTCCCACTCCAATACTTTTAACACATCAAAAGGATTGACAGATTAGATGCCATTTGAACGTCTGAATCCAATTCAGCCTATTTTCATTGTCTGTAAAATAAAGCCACTCCAGATAAATCTTTATCCTGCTCACATGAAGAAAACCATAAGTTAATTCAAGCAATTGTGATTCTTATACATGTACTGAGTCTACCTTAAATCTATCAGGTGGTGCAGAGCCCTTACATATGTATCTGGAGAAGCATAATTTAAACATAATTATTTATCAGGTCACCTGCATTGAATTTTAACAATAGTTTTCAAAAGTATTGAACATTATTCTTTAAATCAGGCACTTCTGGATGTATTTTTATAACTGTCCAAATGATTTGTGCACTCACAAAACTCCACTTTTTCATTTAGCAATAAGAAGCAGTCACAGGCTGGGGAAGATAAAGGTTTATGGTGGCAGGTGACTTCCTACACAAAAAGATTGAAGATAAGTGCTAAAAGGCACCGTATTTCTGAGCCATAAATCTAAATGTAAATGAAAAATGTTTGGGGGCTAATGTAAGAAAAAAGCAATGGAAAAGCCATTAAAATAATATCTGATTTTGAAACAGAATTTAATTCAAGTCCTGAGCATTTCTAAGCTTTTAAAGCTGACAAGAATCAGAGACTTTCTCTCACACACGCCACCATTTTGGGGATGCAAGCAACTGAAATCACTTGGCATAGCCCAGCAGAGAAGAAAGCACTGTAAAAGTAATTATATGTTTCAATGTGTAAATGGAAATGGTGCTTTAATAAGAACATTTGAACATATGATTAGATGTTCTGGTCTTTCAACTCAATTTGTCTAGCTATCTGAAGCATTTGATGGCTTTTCATCCAATTATTGGACAAATATGATAGCTAACGACAAGTTATGACAACATATCATTTTTAGGTTGCATCCATCTATTGTGGCTCTAAGGTGCCTATTACTGCTCTGTTTAAGCACCAGTCCTATTCTGAATTGCCTCCATCCATGTAATTACCTAAAGCTAAAGGCTAATTGAATGTGTGATACAAATACCTTCTTCACAGCTTTCTCCTTTGTATCCTGGGTTGCAGATACAGGTCCCCATGATGCACGTGCCGTGGTTATTGCAGGAGACATCGATGCACTGGTTGGTTGGGACATCACATTCTGCTCCTTTCCAGCCGCTGTGGCACAGGCACCTTCCCTTCATGTACTGCCCGTTCCCACTGCACAGCACGGGGCAGGATGCTGGGGACAGATGATAACACATCAGAACACAACTGTACATGGCTCTCACTTCAACAAAGAGCACAGGAGTCCAGCAGGGGGTTGGAACTAGATGATCTTAAGGTCCTTTCCAACCCTAACTATTCTATGATTCTGTGATTCTATGACTCTATGATTCTATGACTTACATTCTTCATACACAGTTTTCAGTGGGGTATGTTGCTCTTTTCTTTGCCACAACCAATTATTTCATGGGGATGACACCCAGCTGTTGACTGTGTGCTCCTATGGCTGTTTAAACCAAACAAACAGTGCTCTGGAGTTAGAATGTCTCCTTGTTTTGTGTCTTATACTTTTTTTCACTAACTAACCTCTTGTATTCTGACTTTTCAATGTACTGGTGTCTTCTTTCAGCAGCACCACTGACCTTAGCTTGCTTATCAGTAACTCTAGACCTGCTGCCAAACTTCATACTTCCTTTGGCACTGTCTCTGCTGCACACAAATCACTCCCCTGTTCTTCTGTTGGAATTCTCAGCATTAAGGGTTCCAGTTGTTTTGCTCAGAGTCCAGAATGCCACGTTGAGACTATTCCCCTGATTTAGCTCTTGTCATACCATAAACTACCATCTTTCTCCACCAAAAGAGTTGCCAAGCATTGGAACAGGCTGCTCAGAGAAGTGGTGGAGTCACCATCCCTGGAGGTAGCTAAAAAGACGTATAGATGTGGTGCTTAGGGACATAGTTTAGTGGTGGACTTGGCAGTGCTGGGTTGGACTCAATGTTCTTACAGGTCTTTTCCAACCTAAATGATTCCATGATTCTGTGATTCTAACTGAATCTCCAGCCCTCTTTTTTGGATATCACCTCTGCTGGACTCCATTCACCACCAGACACAATGCAAAACTGGCCTCTAGTCTTTCCAAGCTCCCTGTAATGAGAGTTCTCCAAATCTCCCCTCTGATCTTTGTATCAGTCTATAAAGGATTTCTAATTGTCCTTGTTTCTGGCAAAGTGGGTGGGTTCTCAAGGTCAACCAGATACACGATTTCTACCCTGTGATAAAGGGGAGAGGAGGAAGCTGACAAGCTCAAGCTGTGGCATGATGGATCCCAGGAATTAAGCGTTTTCTGAGCTAAATTTGGAAAACGCCAGGCAGAGTGGGATGGGATGAACTGAAGGATACAGAGCAGGGATGGACCAGACCCCAGCCTCTGTGGCCAAAGCTTTGGTAATCACTGCTCTCTAAGCTTCCTTCGTCTCCTCTCTGATGATGCCTTCTCCCTTTTCCATTCTCCACACCTGCAACATCACACTCCTTTTGTCTTCTGCTCTGATTTTCCATGGAAGCTGCTGATTTCTGTCCCTCAGAAACAAAAGTTGTCCCTTGACACTTTTTCTTGCTTAAGCCCTTCTCTCTTCCATTTCATTTTGCTGAAACTCAGCTGCAAGGTCATATATTCAACACAGACTTCTCTCATTCACTGTTGCACATTATCGTTGGGTGAGAGCAGCTGAACTTGTCATCTGCCCCTCACAATGGCAATTTGTGGACACTTTTATGCAGGACAAATGTGAAAGGAATATTCCAGTCTGCTCTTTAATTCAACTGCATTAGGCATGCGATGAATAAAATGTACCTCTTCTGCTTGGTTTCTGACTCTGATTATACGCATAAAGAGGTATTAACATGGTTGGGGGAACATTCCTCTCCTTTTCTTCCCATCTTTTCAGGTAGTAATCACACATTGCACATCCAGTGTTGCTTCCATGTGTCCTTACAGTCAAGCTGGTTTGAGTGTTATGGAATTATAGCAACCTCAATAAAACACAAAGCACTGCCAGCTCTGACTGTTAAGCCCATTTGATACGCAACGAACTATATTTGCCTGACCAAGATAAAAGCGGTTTAGGAAAGAAAGGAATTTGGCAACTGTTATTACTAAGGAGCTCTCTGTTCACTTTAAAGGAAGCACATTGCAGTGGTGCATTTCAAGAGCATCACTTGCAAGGAGATACCTACCTATACAACATGAGACATCAGCTGCTTAAGATACACTGTGTTTTGTACATGGTTCACAGCAAACTCACTCTGTAATTTCACTTTTCAGCTTGGCTGATGGAATTTTCCTCCTGTCTCAGATTTCACATGCTCAGTAATGGGCCCTGTTCTTTCAAGGCACTGGAAAACGATATTCTGCAGCTCTTTTCAACAAGGAGAAAGAATAATTGCCTTTAAACAGTGAGAGGGTGCTGAGAAAGACTTACGTGTTTTCTGACAAGACAGCTGATCACTCAGTACTAGAACAGATAAATTACTGGCCATCTGCAATAAGACTGGTTCTCTACAGAGTCCTCTGTGGGGAACACCTTCAGCATAACCTGGAAAGTGCTGCTGCAAATGTCAAGGCAATGGCAAGAACAAAACCTCCTTTGTAGCACACCGTAATGAATAAAGACAAAAGAGGTGTCTGGCTTTTTTCCACTGCTACTTGTGTGACTCTTTTCCATATATAAAGATTTATAAGTATTGTTTGATCATTCAGATTCCAACAAACGATATCCAAGATGCCAAAGTTATAGTCATTCTCTAGTGTGGTTTATGGTAGCATCAGGGAGTAAGATCATTCATTTAGTTTAGAGAACTTCAAAACACCATCTCCCATAGAATCATAGAATCAATCAGTTTGGAAAAGACCTTCAAGATCACCAAGTCCAACCTTTACCTCAGCACAGCCAAGGCCACCACTAACCCATGGCACTGGGAGCCTTGTCTACATGGTTTGTGAACAAAGGCCCATGAATACATCCCTGTGATTTGTTCTCATTTACTCAGTTTAAAATAATTAGTTAATAATACATCCAAAATTAACCCTTATTAAAAGCAGAATGGCTTTCTGCTCCACAGTCTCCCACTCATTTGGATGGTGAATTATGAGGCTGAATTGAAACAAAGGAATACCCAGGAAATCTATGACCTAGAAAACTTCACGTGGGCAGAGACCTGCTTATTTAAGGATTACTGCTCAGTACAAGGACCAATGTACTGCTGCAGATGGCTACTGCATTACACATGCCACAGTTGCTGCCCTCTGAGGGATTATAGGTCAAAACCAGCATCTTAGATTCCCCTGAAAACCAACAGGAAGCCAATGCTGGGGCCCTCCTATCTCATGCTCATGGGAAGATGATCTTTTTAACAAGCCCACTGGGTGGAAATGCATACCCAAATAGCATTTTGACACTCCAGGTATTAATATGTCTTCCTAAAGGCAGAAAGTAATCTGTGATCTGCACGCAGATAAATCTGAACCAAAGGATATAGTTGAATAAAAGGTATTCGTATCAGCCAGAATAAGGACTGCAGTGAAATGGGAGTTAGTTACTCACGTGGCTCAACTGAAGTGTGAGAAAGCTGGTTTATAACCCATGAAGGGATGTGAGCTCCTCTGAAAGTGAATTCAGAACCTTAAATATTCTGACTCTCAGCAAAAGAGCTTCATCTCCACTGACTCTACAGGGAGCCTTGGGGGGAACAAACCCTGAACTTCTGCCCCTCTAAAGTTGGGAAGTGTGAGTAGGAATATGCTGTGGGAGATGGAGAAGAACGCCCCTCCTTTTGTCTCCAGCTCCAGGGATTTGAAAAGGAGCTTGGAAATGCAAACCAAGTGTAAGGAAATGCAAACCAAGTGTAACCTGAGTCAGCAAGAAGTTTGACAGATCAGCTCTCAGGGATGCAGATTGCCACATCCATCATACTGGGCTGTGAACTCTGAAACACCTCTGGGCTTTTAGCCTGGACCAAAGTGGCTCAGCAGAGAGCTCCCCTCCTGCCTGTGGGGTTTGCAGCTCTCCTTATCTCTTGTCTTTTGGCTGGGCTACAGTGATTGACCCACGCTGGGCTGGAGGGGGAGAGGACATGGGGTTGGACAGAGTTTAGCTCTCCCTCTTGGGAAGGAGCCAGTCTGCCTTCCAAAGAAGTGATGGGCTGGGGTGAAGGCCTGACCTGTAGCCTCAGCAAAGCTCCTTGTGTGGGCATTAGCTTTTTACACTCCCTCCCTCCCCCCATTTATAAATCTGCATTCAGTTTGTTGGACTTTTGGAGCTAAAACCCAAAAGGCCTCAAAAAGGTTGATGCATTCTGGCATTTCCCACATGCAACGTTTTGATTTCTTGGTCTGAGATGTGTTCTCACTCTAAGTACTTTAGTTTGGGTTTTAAATGTTTAAATAACCTGCAAGTTTTCAGGTCACACAGAAATCCTTCCAAACCCATTTATTAAAAGTACTTATCACTTGAGCAGAAAAATGTTTTATATTGTTTTCTGGGGTAAGCCTCCTTCCCAGTTGTCCCACTTTTGGCCAGAGTATCCAGCTTTTCCTGCCATTACTCCACTCCAAGCCCTACTGCAACACTGCCTTACACCCCACAGTCAGGCTGTCAGTGATCATTCAGAGCTCATGCAGTCTTGCAAGGCCTGCAGCAATGAAAAAGGTACTTGATTTTTGCATAGTCATAGAACAACAGACTGGTTTGGGTTGGAAGGGACCTTAAAGCTCATCCACTTCCAACCCCCTGCCATGGGCAGGGACACCTTCCACTAGAGCAGGTTGCTCCAAGCCCCTGTGTCCAACCTGGCCTTGAACACTGCCAGGGATGGGGCAGGGACAACCCACAACTTCTCAGTGTCTTAAAAGGAAGTATCACTATAGGGTTGTGCCACATAATGGTTGTGTGCTCTGCTAAACAAACAATACTGCCACATTTATAAGTCATCCTTTTTAAAGTCCCTTCCAGAGAGAAAAATCCCAGTGTGACACTTTGCCTGTCCATATGTAGCTTGGGGTTGTGTTGTTGCTAAGGTCACAGCAATCATGACAAGTAGGAAACAAATCTAAAGATCTGACCTGTTTCCATTCTACTGCAGCATATGAGGTGAGGTAGACTTTGTACAGGCATGAATATAATATCCACAAGAAAGACGTTAACTGAAAGGGAGAAGGGATGAGTTAATCAAGTATAAATTCCTACCTCTGCCACAGTCAGGTCCCAGAAAGCCAAGGAAGCAATGGCAAGTCCCAGACACGCAGTCTCCATTCCCATAGCAGTTACTGGGACAATTATCCACTGATTCTGGAAAACAGAAGAGAATTCAGGTAATGTTTTAGGCAAGAGAAGAACTCTGAGTTTGGGAGGGCCTGGATGGCAGGACAGCTCAAACTTCAAAGCAATCACTGCACTTGGGGCTGAAAGCATTAATCTGAGCTTCACCAAAGACACTCATCCATTGGCACCAATGGGTGGTTCCACTGTAACACATCAGTGAGGAGTGATTGCAAACCCCATGATTAAATCACAGCTGCTCAGCACCCACCAGGCTTTGTCCTCACTCAGTACCTGAAAACTTCCAAATGTCTTTGCTTGCTGTTTATTTATCCAACCTTTTTCCCTCTTTAAATGTACTGGAGAGAAGCAACACACACCATTCTCATGGCAGAACATGCACCTTTGGTCTGATTTTGTTGACTTGTCTGAGTGACTGTGGGGCATTTACCTGTGGCGAGCAGAGCTGATCTATGGTAGAAATGTTCGCTAGGAAGTCACTGAACACAAACCCCTGGTTCATCCTGTCTGTTGCAGGATTATTCCTCACCAAATGCCTTCTCATTTGTTCTGCAGTATTATAAAAACAGCACCTTGGTGGGACAGGAATGGGACTATTCCACTCTTCCTTCTGTTTCTAGTTATCACCTTAAATTCCCTGACTTTGGCAAAAACACTGGCTATTCATCTTTCCAGGAAAGTTAACAGGTAAGCACAATATTATCTAGCATTTTTATTGTGAGGGCAGTTCAGAATCTGGGGCTAAATTATCTGCCATAAAAGAAGAACACAAGCTGGTAAACGTTAGCTATCAAAAAGAGAATGAAAATGATATTACTTTCTTGACTAAACTGTGAGTGAAGACTGAGTAAATGTGAGCAGGGCTTGGAAAGGTGATGGAATACCATGGTTCATCCCACACTATTATTTCCCATGTTCTTCGAGGGTGATGTGTATCAGATTAAAACTGGATTCAGTCATACAGGAGAGGAATTGGTGGCACATCTGTTGTAGAGTGGGGTGGAAATCTCACCCATGTGAATAATGTCTGTGCTTTAGACTCCATAAGCGCTTGTGGTAGCAAAGATTTGTAACTCCCTATTGGTGCAAGTGAAGAGAAACAGCTGCAGCAGAGATGTGCAGATTAGTTTCTAATCACAAATGAAAGGAAACCTGTTTCTGGATGGGTGTTCTCCAAACAACAGAGGCTTCTGAAGGACATTTTAAAGGACATGGTGTAATTTCATCCTTCGTAAAGGGCAACAGCAGTTTTACAGACTAAAAACGGTTTCAAGCATTTATGTTTTAAGCCTTGACATCAGACATCTCGTTATCAGATAGCTCCATGCAGCAAGGAAGGTACAAGGAAGAGCTGTCAGTTTTCTAACACTTAAGCTCTCTAGTTAAGCAGATATTCACTTTACGGTGTATGGAAATCCAATCACAGCATGCAGTCAACACTTGGGGCCTGAGCTGCCACCTTTATTCCAATCAAATCACAGCCATGCTTCCTAGAAGAAAGAAATAGCAACTCAGGCCTTGTGCATTTATACTGACACTCAGGTACGCTAACACACGCTTAATACCAGGTATAAACACAAATCTACCCTGTAAATGAGAAGTTAATGTTAGCCTGGATGCATATAAGCTTCAGAACTTTGTGATGGTTAAATTTCACTGCTGAAAACAAAGATAGTTTTGCTACATGCATTTTTTCCTCTATTTTGTTTACAATGCTTACATCTTTCTTGTCTTCAAGAAATATATGCAGAAATGTAGAAAAAGAAGTTACTTATTTACACACATACTTACACATATGAAGAATATACAGAGTATGAGCACTTTGAAATAGGATAATAAGACATGCAAGGAGATTTAACTGCTCCTGTTGCTGAAAGGGTCAGTCCATTTCCTCTAATCCTTTCATCCTAGGCACACGTCTAAGCTCCCTCTTCTTGTGTTGGTTTTGGTACTTGTCAGACCCTTCAATGAGCTGGTTAAGCTCAAAAGGTGTCAGAAAGCTTAATGAAGCAGATTAAAACACAAGTGAATTGTTTTCTACAGCCTGAAAACTGGGAACAGAAGGAGTAGGGCCTGTTGAGTGCCAGTGCAGTACATAGATGAAACCTCACCATTGCACTGTCATGCTGGGTTGGGGTCTGAAAGCCTGTAGCAACACTGTATAAGCATAGAATTCTAGAATGGTTTGGGTTGGAAGGGACCTTAAAGACCATATAGTTCTAACACCCCTGCCACAGGCAAGGACACCTTCCACTAGACGAGGTTGCTCAAAGTCCTGGGAAGTCCGACCTGGCCTTTTGCATTAAGGAAGTGTTAAATGAACCTGCTTTTTTCTCATGAACTCCAGAATTCCTGAGAACAAAGAAGGTTTGTGACTTAGGCTTATGATCAGCAAGTCACAGAGTCATATAATCAGCGAGGTTGGAAAAGACCTTTAAGCTCATCAAGTCCAACCATCCCCAGCAGTGCCAAGGCCACCACTAACCCCTGGCACGGAGGCCTCAGCTACACGGGCTGTGAACACTTGCAGGGATGGTGACTCCAGCCCTGCCCTGGGCAGCCTGTTCCAATGCCTGAGCACCCTCTGGGCAAGGAATTGTTCCTCAGCTCCAGCTAAACCTGCCCTGGGGCAGCTTGAGGCTGTTTCCTCTTGTGCCATCCCTTGTTCCTTGGGAGCAGAGACCAGCCCCCTCCTGGCTCCATCCTCCTGTCAGGCAGTTGCAGAGAGCAATCAGGTCCCCCCTGAGCCTTCTCTTCTCCACACTAAAGCACCCAGGTCCCTTAGCCCTTCCCCATCACACTTGTGCTCCAGGCCCTGCTCCAGCTCCGGTGCCCTTCTCTGGCCCCGCTCCAGCACCTCAACTTACATCCTTAGGTACCATCTCAAACTGGAATTTCTTTTTACATTGAAGACTGAATATCTACATTTCAAACTAAACAGGAGGAGGCGGGTGACTTGGCATAAGAAATTAGGGAGCCATGGTGGGGGAATCCTCCAAAGAATGAAGGATCAGATGGGCTAAGTCTCAGCATCTGAAAATTTGCCGTATTATTATTGAATGGGTCTTAGATGTCAGAAGAGAGCAAACTAACATTCAGGGAGCCCTGTTAGTTGCACAAAGCAACTGTCCTTTAAGTATGTCCACAGTCTACATTGCTGCAGAGGTGACACAATCAATAAATAAAACAGGTCACTGCTTGTTAGGGCTAGGTTCTAGTCTCCCTTCTATAGCTTATTGTGTAATAAGCTGCTCATGTAATCATAAGGATATTTTCCAATATATACAGAATTCCATATGGTGTTTTATGAATAGGGCCATGGGAACTGTGCTAAAGAACCATGACAATGTTTTCTTTTGTTTCCCTTAATTGTTAAAGTTCACTGTGAGACCATGGTCAATTCTTGTTTAGAAAGAGATAGATGTTCCCTGTTCTCAGTCTGACTCCCACAGCTTTCTCTTGGCTTCCAAATCTCTGAAGGGATCTGATTGACACCAGCTGGTAAGGGCAAAGATTATTCATTAGAGGGTCAGCCAATTAATGATGCATGATGCTTTCCCATGGTTTTGTTATCGTGTCCAAAGAGAACATTGAAAATGCAGCTCCCTTGACACCTTTCAACAAGAAGCAGCAGCAGGAACAAACCTCCTGAAAGCAAACAACTCCCAGTGGGACAGACCTCCAAGACTTGAGGTGGTGGGGCTCCTAATGGGGACTGCAGGAGCTTCTGTATGGGAGTAATTGTCCTGTTGGCTTCAAAATCTAATTAGGAACTGAGAAAACAAGTGATTTCCTGAATAACTGTTGTAAACATCCAGACATGTCATTTATTCCTCTGAGAGTAGGAAATGACATAATGAGACACACGGTCTTCAGATTCACACTATCCATGTTGGAGAATGGTACTTGTCTGACACCACAGGTATTCCC